GCTCAGCAGGCCGCCCGCGAGGTCAACACGGCCTCGCTGTGCCGCATCGGGCAGGAGACGGTGCAGGACATCGTGTACCGCACCATGGAGATCTTCCAGCTCCTCCGGAACATGCAGGTGGGCGCGGGGTCGCCCCTACACCCGCCGGGTCCCGGCTTTCTGTAGGCTTCATCAGGCCGCGGGGACCGCGTCCTCCGGTCGCTATGGAAACCAAGTTTCCGGACGTGTGTGGGTGCCACGCCGCTTCCCTCTTCCACTTACTTTAAAGGTTGTTTTTTTTCCCCCAGCAAAATGTCTCCTGAAAGGAGCCGGACCCGAGAAACTGAAGAATTCACATTCTGCTAACAAGTAATAAAAAACAAAAGTCCTCCTCTTCCCTTGGCAGAACTGATACGTCCGTCTCAGGTTTTGTCCTGTATAAATAAATACACTTGCTAAACCAGCGCCACAGTCGCGAGTGAGCAAGTTAGCGCGTACCCTGGGGAGTCTGCCCCGCTCCGACCCGGTCCCTAAAGAAGCAAGTTGCTTTGCGGTGTCATAAATTAAGTCATAAATTAATCTGCGTTGTCTCACATTTCATCCGAATACAGCACAGAGTCTTCAGGGACGAGGTCCCGGTTCTTTCCGCGTGATTCACAGTCGTTCCTTCTGCTTGCTAAGCACTGTTCAGCCGTGTGACTGCCCCACAGTCTGTGTCTGTCGATGGACTTTTGGGTGGTTTCGTGTTTGGGCCCTTACTACTGCTGTGAATGTTAACTTACAAGCTTGTGTGTGAACGTTTGTTCGGGAGTGTAGTTGCTGGGTCGTGTATCTTTAAAATTTTAAGAGATTTTTCCAAACTAGCTGACCTGTTTTTATTTCCATCGGCAGTGTTTAAGGATTCTGATATCTGCTTATCCTCATCAACACTTATTGTGTTTGTTTATTTATTTGTTTTTAATTTGCAGTTTGTGACTTGCCTTTTATTCTCTTTATATTGTCTTTAAGGAACAGACTTTAAATTTTGTTTTTCTTTTTTTCCCCTTTCATCTGTCCCACCTTTCTTCCTGCTGGGATTAAACCCGGGATCTTAACACTGAGCTCCATCCCCAACCGTTTTTTATTTATGTTTTGAGACACAGTCTCAATTCAGTCATTAAAATGCCCAGGCTGGGCTGGAACTTGTAATCTTCCTGCCTCAGCTTCCCAGAGTGCTAAGGTTATAGATGTATGTGCCACCACACCAAGCTCATTTTTTTTTATTTTGATGGATACCTATTTGATCCTTGTCTGTCTTTTGGTGTCACACCTAAGAAACTTTTGCAGAACCCAGGGTGACAGAAATATTCTCTTACATTTTCTTCTAGAAGTCTTGTACTTTTAGTTTTCACATTTAGGTTTATACGCCATGTTAAGTTACATGATTGGTGACATTTTTGATAGATATAATTCATCATCCAACACCACCGAACTGGCCCACTTTTTTTGTTTGTTTGTTTTGTTTTGTTTTTTTTGGTGTCAGGGATCGAACTCCGGACCTTGCTCTTGCAAGGCAGGCGGCAGAACCACTGAGCTAAATCCCCAGCCCTTAGCACACTTTTAATGCTTTCTTCTCTTAATGCTGAAGGATGTGGACAGCCTGTTGAACAATGTATGGAATTACGTGCATACTATTAAAAGAAATGAATGCATAGAATAAACTACTGTTCAGAAGAGCAGTATCAATAACCAGACTCCATGTGAGCTTGTGTTTAAAGCTAATTTGTAAGAGACGTGATAGTTATTCGTGTGCCTTTTGCTGCGTGAATCCTGTGGTCTGGCTCATCTAAGACCTGTGGCACACATCGTAGGTGACTGAGAAGGCAGTAACGGTGTCCCTTCTTTTCCAAGAAGCTTGAGAAAGAGATAAATGCAAATGTGATGATCTTAGCAACATAGTCTGGCTGTTAATAGCTGATGCGCAGTCCTCTTGTTCACAGTTTCAGTTACCCATGGTCATCCACCGTCCAAATGGATGTTTGGATGGAGGCCACATTTACCTCTTACTAAAGTGTACTCTGATATCTGTTCTGTTGTTCTTAGTCATTGTTAATCTCATACTATGCCTATGCTATAAATTAAATGTTTCATAAGTCTTGTGTATAAGAAAAAGCATAGTAGGGCCAGGGGTTCAACTCAGTGGTACTGCACCTGCCGTGCGAGCGCAAGGTCCTGAGTTCGAGCCCCAATACAACACAGAAAAAGAAAAGAACATAGTAAATTAAGACTTGGTGCTGTCCAGGGTTTGAGGCGTCCTCAGGGGCTTTGCAGTTTATCCCTCTGTGAGAAGGAGGGCCTACTGTACATTTTAGGAAGTATTCAAACTGAAGATTATCCTCTGTATTATTAACCCATAAAGGTAAAATAACATGAATATAAAGTGCTAAGATTTCTAAACATGTGATTTAAGGAAGTGATTATTTATATACTAAGTGTCCTTTAGCTGCTTGGGAGTCTGATGAAAAGTGTGAACTTGTTTCTTAAAAAATACATAAGCATGTTTTGAAAAAACTTTCAGGGAGTTACAGAATGTCTCCCCAAGTTTCCCTGAGTCCCACATTAAGATTCCTGCAAAAAACTGCACTACTTAAGACTCCCTGTGAAAAATGTCATTGCTTTGGCTCTGTTTATTATCCCTTAAGCCTTTTATTTACAGAATATATGATACATTCACAATTCAGGAGTAAAACAGGACCTTTCTGTGAACCTCCCTTGCATTCCTGTGCACTAGGTACCTAATGTTCACTGCAGGCAGTGGCTGTTAAGGGCTCTTACCACTAGTTTGGTGTATCCTTCCGTACATTTTATGTGTATTTAAGCAAATTTATATGTATATTTTTTAATTTCCCCCGCTGCACACGGAGTGCACATATCATGTTATACTTTGCTTTATTCCTTTGATACATTTGGGAGCTTATTCATATTCATACAGAAAACTTCTTTTCCTTTGTGTAGTGAGTAGTATTCCACTACATGGCGGTACTTACTTTATTAAACCAACTCTCCGGTGAAAGCATTTATGCTGTTTTAATTTCCCACTGTCATGCTACACCAGATAATCTCTTGAAGGCGTGTGCATGTATATCTGTAGGATAGGTTTTTAAGCAGCTGTGTTCCTGTGTAAGTAGATAAATTCCTATGAGTTACAGTGTCCTGGGTTGTACCAGATTATGGTACAAAATCCTGAGGCCAATGCAGTAGATTATTCTATTTTTGGATCTTTGATCACTGGGTAAGTGGAAATTCTACTCAGCATTTCTCCTGGGAGCACATCTTCATGAATTTGTGGATCATTTATATTTCCTGTCCTAGATATTTGCTCACTTTTTTAGATATTTGTTCATTTTTTTGCACATTTTTCTTTATCTTTCTTTTTGTACTGGGGACTGAACTCAGGTCCTTGAACTTGCAAGGCAGGTGGAGGAACCATTGAACTAAATCCCGGGCTTTCTTTTTTATCGTTTTAACTTGTTCCCCTAAACTTCCTGTCTATAATATAACTCACAAGTATGTTTTTTTCCAGACTTTTTAGTTTTGTTATTTTGTTTTTTGTTTTGTGTTATGTGGGTTTGTGTGTGCGCATGCATACACAGAAAATGGCGTAGGGGTGGCTCTACTTATGGTAGTTTTTATTATGCATACTTTAATCAAATAGATAGTTGCATGTATTAGTCTTTAGTGTGTCTAGATTCTAAGTCAAGTAAGGAAGGTCTTCCCCAGTTAAAAATTGGAAGAATTCCGTGGCTTTCACCTCTGAAGTATGCCCCTTACTTTTTCCAAAAGGTGCCTACATAAATGCATTTCCCTTCTTTACTGAATCGGATGCTATTTATACAGCAGAGTCTGTCTGCGGATATCTTAGTGAGTTCTCCATTGCTGTGACCAAGTCCCTGCCTAAACAGCTGCAAAGGAGGAAGGGATGATTTGGGTTCGGGATTCAGAGGTTTCATCTGTGCTCAGCTGGCTCTGAGGGCGAAACATCAGGGCACAGGGCGTGGCAGAGGAAGCGGGCTCACCTGGCCTTGGGGACCACGTGTGGTCCCCACACTCGACCAGGCACCCGACCAGGCACCCGACCAGACACCCGGCAGGCAATGAGCTCTCCTCACCTGGGGTCCCCGCAGCATCAAGAGGAGTGGTCTTGGACAGCGTGTAAAATCTGCAAGTACTGTGCGCAAGAAGCACGACTTCCTTTTCAGAATATTTTTTATGAAACTAAAGAAAGGGCACCGTAAACTGCCACGTGGAGACCCAGGAGGTGTGAATGCTGCACACGCGGCACTCGTGGTGCACGTGCAGCTCGCTCCTGCACATTGGGCAGCAAAGTTTATGGCCTTGTAGGGCCACACGGGTGGGACACGCATGGGTGCCCCGCTGCAGAGCTGCCTGTCTTTATGTGTCAACGCGTAAATTTCTTATATGTTTTTGAATCTCACTAATATGTTTACACTCGTCTTTCAGAAGTCCCCTGGCTGTTCTGATCATGTACTTTTACATTTGTACAGGCCAATGTATCTTAAAATCAGCTGTAGTTCTAATAAAAATCTGTTAATGTTTTTATGAAGTTAATCCTAGCAAGACTTGACATCCTTAATACATTATCTTACCAAGAACATGGAATATCCTTTCATTTTTTTATTTCCCTAAGTCAAATTGTAAGTGTCCTTTGTGGGGGGTGGTCTTTTAGTTTGGTTTTGGTTTTGGTTTTTCGAGACAGAGTCTCCCAAGGTAGCCCCAGAAGTCCTCCTGCCTCATCCTCCTGAGTACTGGGATTACAGTTGTGAGCCACGAGCCACCACATCCAACATCATGTTTTCATTTGTGTCTTGATATGTTTAAAGTTTAGCCCTAGGTATTTTATCTTTTCATTGTGGTTGTGAGTGGCATTTTGTTTCTGTGGTTTTTGTGAGAGAAAGCAGAGCTAGTGGTTTCTGTTGATTTTGTGTTCACCTCTTTATTGAGTTCTCTCGCCCTCAGTAGCTGTCATATTATTTGTAAGTAGTGATTACTGCACTGCTTACTTGTTAGGGTTTCAGCCTTTTTTACACTCTTCAGCTTTTCTTCCCTAATTGCATCTTTTGGTGCCTCTAGAACCCTGTTCGTCAGCTGTGGTAGTGGTCTCAGAAGACTTCCTTCAGGTTCCAGAACTTTCTGGAGCTGCTGCTGCTGTTTCCATGTTTGTGCTGAATACAACTGAGATAAATGTATTTTCTCACATTGTGGAATTTTCATTATGTTTCATACTTGCTTTAAAGAATGGGTGTTGAATTTAGTTGAATGCCTTCTTAGTGACTAGGGGTGTGAAGAGTATTTACAGTTTTTCATCCGTAGACAGGAGTGACGTGGTTATTCATGAGCTGTTCATCTTAATAGTGTTTTCTCTCCCCTCCTCCTCCTCCCCTTTTCCCTACCTCCCAGCCCCTCTCCCTCTCTTCCCCTCTCCCTCCTCCTCCTGGCATTACATCAAACCCAGCTACACAAGTGCCGTACCCTGCTAGGCAAGCGCTCCATCCAGCAAAATTCCAGTCCTCAGGGGGTCTTGAGTGCTGTTACCATGTGTGCTATAGGATGTGGGAACCTCATCTGTCTTATGTCACTGATACTCCAGATTCCAAAAGTGTGCACGACACATTAAAGGTGTGCAGCCAGTGTTGAATCAGTTAATTTTTCCTTTCTCTGAGAAGCTTCGATTAAACACTAACATGCAAATTTACTAAGCCAGTACATTTGGAGAGGGTCATTCTTTGCGTTTCAAAAGGGTTTTTTCCTTTATCACAGGATTTAGCATATGTTCCTTTACATGATGTTTTTTGTTTTGTTTTGTTTTGTTTTTGTAACAGGGATTGAACTCGGCCCTTGACTTTGCGAGGCAGGCAGCAGCAGTACTGCTGAGCCAAATCCCTGACCCCTCCCTACATGATGTGTTTTTAATGAAATTTGTGCATAAAATAACAAACTATTTTGATGTCCGTGTGCATTATCCTAAGTACAGTGATCTAAGTTCCAGTCTTTACTAAGTAGGAAACAAGGACAGGTATGAAACTCAGTAAATGACATAATGAAGATTTCAAAGTATTTCATTTACAAAGATATAAGATATTTTTTTATCATCACCCAAGCAGGAAAGCCAGGATAGGATACGTTAGCTAGTGCTTGGAAAAATTAATGAATCACGACACCATGAGGAGAAACCCTGCACGGTCTGATGGAGGAAACCCTCCATGCCATCTCCCCTCTGAAACACTTGACTGACTCAGCCTTTGGTGTTTTCTCACATTTCTTTGAGGCACTGGAAAGGCTGAGCGTCGTTCTTACCTAGTTAAGTTATTTGGGGAACAGTGTACTCGTCCTTTTCTCCTGAAAGATCCTAAGCTTCACTTCCATCTAAGCTGTACTTGAGCTTCCTGCTTGACCTCAGCAATTTGCTCCTTTCCTATAATAGTAACATTAAAATCGCACATTTCTAAAAAAGTTATACTTCACAAATTAAAGGGGAAGAGGCATTTCAGAGGGTTTATTAAAACATTTTTTAGGGCAGTTTTATTGCAGTGAAATAGTAAACAGGTTGCTAATAAATGGGCGCGTGTGACTCTTAAACGCTCTACATATTTATAAATTGTGTGTGTTTAACACTTAAATTCCTAAGATTGAATTTGATTAATTGTGAAGTACAGTCTGCTTTTATGTACTTAAAACTGTTGGGTTCACCTTTCGAAAACCCTGACTCATTAATGTTCTTGTTGTTCTGCCTGGTAAGCTGCCGAATGGTGTCACGTACCACACCGGCACCTACCAAGACCGCCTAACAAAGCTGCAGGACCACCTGCGCCAGCTGTCCATCCTCTTCCGGAAGCTGAGACTGGTCTACGACAAATGCAACGAAAACTGCGGAGGGATGGATCCCATTCCCGTAGAGGTGAATTTTCCTGAGAGGGACATTGAATGAACATAAGATGGGAGGCAGTATCAAGACATTTGTCATTTTTCCCCCTTTTTCTGTTTCCTATTTTGGGAATATTTCCAGCGTTATTTTTGACCAGAGAAGAGGAAGATTATATATAACTATATTTTCACATTAATAATTAATTTGTGTACACTTTGACCTTCGGTCTCAGAGTGATTTTTTGGTCGGTGGTGTTGGAGGAAAGGGTTGTCTGTGGCAGTTGGTAGCATAGTTATCAGTGTCTCCTTTTAATTAAATAAGTGTTTATTCTTTTTTCTTTTTAAGTAGGGGTTCTAATGGCATCATAAAGTACTTTTAAAATGGTTCTCGTGAAAGTGCTTACAGATGAAAGTTTTCTACCATCATTAATTTAGATTGGATTTGTAGCCAAGGGAATCACTCTATTTTAAATATATATCCTCTAAATTTAATCTCGGGTCATGAATATATCTAATTAACAAGGTAGGTGATATTTTTCTGAGTACCTCTTCCTATTTCCAATTCAGGTCACTGCCACCAGAGGTAGCTAGGAAGCATAGGTCTTCTAGCTCTTCCTATAAAGAACAGTTTCATGGGATTGGTGCTTCTTCCTTAAGCACAGCTTGTAAGAGGTGAGCAGAGACCATTAGACAGCAAAAGAGCCTGAACACAAATGGTCAGAGGTGTGAGAAGAGGATGAGAAACGCTGCTGACATTGTCAGATGCCGTGGAGACGTCAGAGAAGGTCAGGACTGAAGACCGTCTGCACCTTTTGCTAAACAAAATGTATTGCAGGCGGGGGATTTAGCTCAGTGGTGCCGCCGCCTGCCTCATAGTGCAAGGTCCTGAGTTCGATCCTGGTACCAAAACCAAAAATGTATTGGTGTATTCCAGTAGAGCTTCAACAAAACGGGTTGTGGTGAGGTCAAATCACAGTGGTTGAAGATGAGAGGAGCTGGACCAGCACTTAGATGTCAGTCTTTGAAGAAGCAAAGATGAAAATAAGAAAAGAAGGAGGAGGAAGGGGGAATGGAATGAAGGGTTTGGGGCATTTTCTGCCTCCAAAGAAAGAGATTGGAGCATGTTTGGGGACAAGAAAAGTGCAGGGAGAGGCTAGGGAGAGGGGCCAGGAGCAGTGAGGACAGAGGAGGAATCAGCACCGGCTGACCACCGGGAGACCGGTCACCTCGGAAGGGAGGACGGCTGCCGGAGGAGAGGGGAGGAAGAGTGGATGTGGGTGTGACTGCGCTCCTGTTTGTCCCAAGAATGTCAGGCGGTCTGGCCTGGTGTCTCTTGGCCTGGACAGTTGCTCGCCTCTGGCTTCTTCCTGTGTCGGCGACACAAGATGTTGGCCACTGGGTGATCGAATTCTGTCCCATGAACTTCATCACGAGCCGTGTGCACTTACTCATACCTGTCCCACACGTTCTGTTATTCAGTAAAACATTTTGTCCTGAAGAAAAAACACACACAACTAACCTAAGTTAAGACATTTAGAAGCTAGCACAGGCATGAAGTTTTAAGCGGCAAATTAACAAGGCTCCCATAATGCATGTCCACGAAGCTCCTGTCCTAGTGTGGATGAGGGAAAGCCCGTCTTGTTCAGTGGACCCTAAGTCTCTCAGGAACGGGAATTACACTGACATTAATTTGGCAGTATCTTACCCAGTGTCTGGATTAAATATTTGCTGACTGAATGAGAAGGGCATTATTTGACTGTATGTGACAACCAGTGTTGTAAAGGATATTTTTGCAGAGGAAACCCAGAGTGTAACACCAAAAAGCACTGAAGCAATGGAGTTCTGAATCTGTTGTTTCTGGCCCCTACCTGAAGCTGCTCAAAAGTATAAAAACTAACCCTGTTCTGACCTAGTTCCCTGTCCCAGTCTGTTGAAAATTTGGATCTTGGTTTTGACTTTTCACTTTTGCTCATCACTCCCAGCAACTGATTCCGTACGTGGAGGAAGATGGCTCAAAAAACGATGACCGGGCGGGCCCACCTCGATTCGCCAGTGATGAGAGACGAGAAGTCGCTGAAGTAAATAAAGTGAGTTCCTGGTCCCGGTGGCTTCTGTTTCAGGTTTCTAGATGAAAGTTGCGTGGGAGGCTAATGTAACTCAGAAGCATAATTTGAATTACTTGAAGTTGTTTTTTCTGGCAAACTCAGCCTATTCAGCACTCAGCGAAGCACGAAAAGGTAAGCAGAATCTGTCTGAAAAGTCGGAAAGCGATCACAGAATTCACCCCGTAAAGCTCCCTGAAGAGTGTGCTTGCACGCAGTCCCAGCCCAGCTCCTCCTCTCTTTTCTGCCTTTCTAGCTTACTGCATATTTGGAGCAGCAAACGATGACAGTGTGCAAGTAGGAAAGGTGAATGTCTTACCACCTGAATGAGAACTCCAGAGAGTTATCAAGAGTGCCGTCTTACCCCAGCCTCCTCTGAATGTTCCCGACTAGAATATATTTATTGCTGAATATTTTTAAAAGTTCAGAAGACACTGCTCCGATAGCTCTCATGAACCTAAAACCGGGAGAGCTGTCAGTTCATTCTGTGGTAGAAACAGCTCCTAGGTTTGCCAGAACCTAACAGAAATAACTTAATGAATAAAACTACCAACCTCACTCTTATTTAGAAATACAAATCACTCCTCCTGACATTTTAGTTCTCTTTAATAGAATTTGTCAATGTATTAGCAAATCCATCTTAGCTAGAGAGTTTTCTGAGATATATATAGATGAAGATCATTGAATCTATAGACATAATACAGAATATCATAGTTACATTGGGAAAATTGTTATCAGGAGGCAGGTTGCTGATTCAAAGAGCATTTAAAACTACCGGGAAGATTTTTTTAAACTTTATTTCAAATAGCTAAAATTTTTCATACAGATGAAATAGAGAGGTGTTCTTATTAAAAAGAGGCATAAAATAGTATTTTAGTATTTAAATTTTTAAATAAAATTATTAGTATGTTTGAGAAATCATAGCCAGTTCAAAAAGATAGCAAATATGTTGTTACAAAATAGGAGTTGTGCTATTATTTACAGACCTCTTAAGATGCCCAGAGAACTTCATTTGATGAAAAGGAGACTCTGTAAGAGTTCTGTTAGAGCAGTTAAGGCAAGATTGATAACATGCTTTTATAATGTTAGAAACCATTTGGATTATAAGATACTGTTCATAGTCGCAACAGGAAATATTAAGTAGACAGGGATTATGTCAGTGAGGTTGTGCTAACCCCTTACTAAGGTATAGTAAAGAAGGATGGAGTAATTAAAAGAACATACAAAGTTCTTGAGAGGCAGTAAACATAAAAATGCCAGTCTTGATTATTTTAATACAGTAACACTCCAAATCCAAATAGGACTTTTGTGAAAACATGCAAAAACAGTAGGATTTTGGTGCAATAACAATTAAAGAACAAATCCCAATAAAATCCAAATGGATATTTCTTCTTAGAAATGTAAAAATTTCAGGCAAACTTCTGATAAATAAGAGTATTAAAGCACAATTATTTGATTCGGAATTTAAAATATTATACAGGGAATTTATAAAAAAGCATGTGGTAGGGTACAAGTATAGATAGATTAGTAAAATTATACCCATAGATAGCCTTCCCATTGAATATGAGAACTTAATATGATAGTAGGGAGATCGTGTGGAAAATTAGTCTTTGAAAAAAGTAGAAAACTTGGTGGAAAATTAAACTAGCTTTTATATTGCATCATATGTCAAAATAGATCTCAGAGTGGAAAATAAGACCTGCAAAACAAAATATTGGAAAATTAAAAGAAATATGTATTTCAGAACACGAAAAAGGAAAAACGTGGGTAGATTTTATAAAATATGGTAACCTTATAAAAAGATAAAATACAGATTATGATTAATATTTCCAGCAAATGTGATAATCAGCTATTATTATAACAAAGAACTGAGCTAGAAGTTGGTCAAGAATGAGGAAAAAATTGGAAACTTTTCATTTAGATCTTAAATCCTAGGCGGCGTTTGGTGGCCCACAGCTGTTTGGTTGTTTTAGAGCAATTGACCCCTGGTTCCCAAGGAGGGCGGGCTGTCCCTCTGGTCCTCGCTGCCTGTGAGACAGTCCCGCTGTGCAGGCCTCCGTGGTGTGGTGGGAGAGCCACATGCTCAGTGGTTCTCTTCCCACTAAGTCACTGACCACTGTCCAGAGAATGCACCCTCTGCATCTGCGGATGTCGTTTCTGGTCTCTTTTCTCTGCATGTGTTTATGACTTCATTATGCTTCTGCCACTTGTATTAGGGATTTGAAAAAGGCGGCATGTATTTTTTCCACAGTATTTTACTGGAAAAAAAAGAAATTCTTTTAGAATTTAGAGGGCTGTATCTTTTCTTGAGTGGCACAAGGACGTTCTCATCTCGGGGCCTCAAAGCTCTCTTTCTTCCTGGAAATTCATATCCCTGTATTTTGTAAAGCACTAGAGAAGGAGGTGGTGAACAGACATAAAAGACAAGAAAAACTTAAATTTCAGTCTCAAAAAAGGAAAGAGAGTATAAAATCAACTGCCTAAAAGCAAGCGAGGCGGGATTTTTTTTTTAAACCCAAAGTGGCTTTTTATGGTTTTCAATATGGATTGAATGTAACATAAATTTTGACTGTGAACAGGGTAGTTAACACTATTACTGCATTTTATTATTTTACTCCAGTCTCTTCAAACTATATCTTCTGTCTAGAATTAGGATGAAATTAATGAAACTTTTAAAAACATGACACTCATGATCCATTAATATATTTTTTTTCCTTAATATCACACATACTTGATTTTCATGAAAACTGTTTATTTTGAATGATAAAATGTCCTAATCTAAGTATTTGATCACAGGAATGTTATTAAAAATAAAAGATTCATTGATTGATTGTTAAGTATTTATAAATATCTGTATTCATAAACTTAAATTTTTGTCTGTTGTTAATCAGCACACAAGCTCAAGATGCAAATAAGGGCTGCTTTTATTTATTTTGTAAATAGAGCTTTAAAGTTCCCAGAATTGTATCATTCCCTCCCTATTAACTGTAACAAATGCCAAAAGGTTGGCTTGGCTCTCGGTTTCCCAGGTTTCAGTTCCTGGCTCCTCAGCTGCTTTTCCTTGGCCTCGGGCAGCACCGCGCAACAGGAGTCTGTGTGGGAGGAGAGGGTTCTCCTGGCCAGGAGCCAGAGAGCCTAAGTGGAGTCCAGGACCCTGGGGTGCCCTGCGCTCACGACCTAAGACCTCCGCTCGAACCCTCTCCCTCCCAGAGGTGCCCCTGGCCAGGAACCAGGCCTTCACTCATCACCGGGCCTCTGGTGACCGTATCCAAACCGTGGCAGCTAAAAACAAGACGAACATGTTTGAAGTCACTACCAAGGACTTTTGTTGCTTATTCTGTCCATTTTTCTAGGTTGGGAGAAAACTTTTTATTTGATTCTATCTTACTTTTCCTTTGAATATCCAAGAATTTAGGTGCCTGCTCCAGGCATGGTCCCAGGTGCTAGACTCTCCCACGAGCCAGCCCTGGTGTTGTCTGCTTCATGCAAGTTTCTGATGAGTGCACAGGTTTCTTCCTGGAGAGCGCAGCACTCTGTAGTGGAAACAAAGCCCCTGTGCTTCATGTGCCCCTGGCGTGTCCTGGTGGATCTCCACAGAAACAAAAATACTGTGCATAATTTCAATGCATCAACCTTTGCTTATATCAAGGTGCCTCGTGGGTCTGTATAATCAGTAATAAGGGTATGTTTTTCACATTCAGTTAGAAATATCTGGTCTAATTATAATGCCAATGTCTTTTATTCTAAATGAACAAAAGAAATAATTGATACCCTTTATTGATCCCCAATTGGTCATCTTCAAATAGCATTCTATCTTTGAACTAGTGCAGAAGAGCAAGTTGACTGTATTTTTCACCTGCCTGGTCTCTAGTAATGCGTGTGTTACCTCTGCCTACCATAGTGTCATGGAACAGAGGCAGACAGGATGTAGCTGGTATTGGAGGTAAACCAGGACTAAAATGGCCTAGTGTTAGTAGCTTTTTTGGTTTATTTAAATACTTTTCATTTTTTTCTTCAAGTATCCTGAGATCTTAAGCCCTGATATCCAAGTAGGAAGGTGAATTCTTGTTTCAGACTCTATGCTTTAGGGAAATTAGAATGAGCTTTATTTTGCTTACAGCTATTCCACTGATGGTAAAATGAAATTGAAAGAAATAGTGGGGTAGTGTTTATAGGGTTGACATACAATCAGGTCCATGCATTTAGAAATTATTTTTGATCAAGTGTCACGGCCTTTGTATGAATATTAAATTACATTTAGCAGAAACACTTTTCGTAAGTACTTTATGTGCTCTGCTTACACATTCACCTGTTAATGTAACAAATTAGGCACAGCTGACGGATTTTGAAAATAGCAGCTGTCAACCTCTGTTAAAATCCATCAGTGGCAAGATTGTACATATTAAATCCTATATCATGTCATGAAAATTTATTTACAATTTAACCACTAATAAGCAGAACTGTCAGCTTTGCTGTCAATGTCTCCTGACATGTTTTGACTCTAGATATTTTGCTTGTGTGCTAATTTTTTAATTTAAAACTTTGTGGCATCTTTGAGAAAAAACTATCCAAGTACCTTTTATGATTTTTGAAAGTTTTATTGGCTAGATTTTATTGTTATTGTGAAAGTACACTTACCTTTTAGGAATTAATGAGGCCTTAAGAAGAAAGAAAAACAAGCATATCAAAGTTTATATTCCCAAAGAGTATCCTTGAATAGCCTCTGTCGGTAGGCTTTGCATTTATCCCCCGTCATGACACCATTGTGGGGCTGTCCAAATCCTGTTTTCATTCTGAGTAAAAGTCTGCCTGTGGCCACCCAAGAATACAATTCCATTACTTCTAGTCACTGCTTTATTTTTACTGAAAACGCAGTCACTGAGCTTATTCACCACACTCGGCCTTTCAGTGGTTTTCTGCTATCTCTGAAACTTCAGTCCTTCCTTTGTGCTTTCTCGTGGGTGCAGGTCTGTGATTATGGAAGGTACCCATCCTGCACGGTTCGCTGCACGTTAAGCATTTGTCTTACCCTTCAGGAGTTTGAATGGGTCCCCCTTATCCACTCACTCCCAAGCCCAAATTCATCCTCCCTCTCCTGCTCACCACCAGTTTTTCTAGGCCCCAAACAGATCCTCCTCTTCTCTGCTGCCCTTTTCCGTCAGAGGCAGTCTCTCTCTCTTGGAGTGCCACAGCATCTGATATTTTTCCTCTGCCATCTGCCTTGCCAGGCTGCAGTCTATTCAGTTGGGCACTGTCTTCCTCCTACTTTATTTTGAAAGCCTGAAATTTTCAGAAGTGGTTGTATTCAAGAAACATTAGATCTTACTAATTCAAATTAGATTTTTTTTTAAAAAAGCACACTCACATTCTTTCTCTTCCTTTTATTTTTACTCAATAGTTTTTTTCTGTGTTCCTCTTGAAAAGTTGGAAATGAGAGGGGAATTGTGGTAGTTGAAGAATGTACGGCTAGAGGTGAAAGGCCAGGATTTAGACTGGCGCAGAACAGCCGCCTTGGAACCATGAATTCACCAAAGCAGACTCCCTGGCTTTCAGCCACGTGTCTTGGTAGCCAGTTGTCACCTTAGGTCTGAGTATACAGAAGAGTAACTGGCCAGCGACCTTAGATGAGATTCATAGAATAGAAAACTGAGGAAAAAAAGTATCTGTGTAGGCTCAAATTGTAAGAGACAAAATTAGAACTTAGACTGAGATTGCCAACCTCCCAATGCTCATCTGTGTTGCTGCCACCCTCCCCGGATGCACAGGTGTTGGTTTCTGGTCTGCGCTGAAAGATGTCAGGGGCTGGGGTCGTTCCTCACCTGTCTCAGTAGCATGGGGTCATTATTTTACATAATGAGCCCAGCTGCTTGACTGTCTACTGCATAGTCACGATGGCAGGACTTAGACGATGGCTCATCTGAAAGCTGATCAAGGAGACTGAATAACTAAAAATACTAACAGTTTTCTGTTTTCCCAAAGACTATGTTAAAGTGAGCTTTAAGCTGGGTGTGGTGGCACAGGGCTGTAATCACAGTGCTCTGGGAGGCTGGCACAGGAAGATGATGAGTGTTGAGTCTGAGCCCAGCCCGGACACCTTAGTGACTTAGCAAGATCCTGTCTTTGATGATGATGATGATGATGATGGGTTGGGGATGTAGCTCCTTGTAGAGGCACTAGGTTCAATCCCTAGTTCCAAAATAACTTTTTAATTAATACTGTAAGACATTAGCCTCTGTAAACTGCTTTTCTGTTTTTCTTTTTAGCCACCTATTTCCTCTCTTTTCCAACTCTATTGACGAACATATAGCAGCTCACAAGATTTAGCTATTATGAGTTGTGCTGCTAAACATGGATATTCATATAACAGTATCTTAACTGCACACAGAATATAATCGTATAATCTTAATCTTAGTTTGCTTTTCTTTTTTTTTGCTACCAGAGATTGAACTTGGGTCCTGGCACTTGCGAGGCAGGTGGCAGAACCACTGAGCTAAATCCCCGGCCCTAGTTTGCTTTCTAATAAAATGAAAATTAAGATGTTTGAGACCTTTTTGAAGGGCATATATGCTAGTTTATCTGGAGGTCAGTAAGTATCCTTAAATAAAATACAGATCTCCAAATATCATGTTTTTAAAAGACTGAGTATTAATGATGATTGTATTGGCCAGTGAACGCTCTAACTGGAAGCTCTCTATTTTTATCTAAGCAGATATTTGCCACATAGGACATGAAGAAATGATGCTTAAAAACTTTATAACCCACAGTGTAGTAGAACCCAGGAGGGGAGATACAGAGACACAGGCCATGTATGTCCCCGGTGTGCAGCAGGTCTCAGCTGTGAAGATTATGCCACCGGGCACTGTGCCTTCTCAGTATCAGAGGTAGATGGCACCTCGTGCCAGGGGCTGCCACATTTTTGAAAAGCCAATTGCATCAAATGTTGTGTTTTTATTATACTTTATTCTCTAGATTGACTGTTTATGTGCTGTGTCTGCCATGAGCATTTGCTGAATACTTACTTAGATGCCAGGCAGTTCTAACACTTTATGAGAATCAAAGAATTTAATCCCCTCCTGTGAGGTAGGTTCATTCATTGCCTGCTGCATTTTTCTGAATTTGTCCGGCGTCGTCCATTTGTAAGTAGGGAGGTGGCGAGCTTCTGAACACCCCGAGAGTCTGGCTCAAGTGTGTGCTTTTCACTGCTTAGTTCTGCCCTCGCAACTCCGGATTCTTCAGCTTTGGCTCATTTTCCTTGAGGAGGAAGCAGAGCAGTAGCAGAGCTGGGAGCCGCAGCCCTGGGCCTCTGAGCTGAATCGGAGCACAGAATGCCGGACCGGGAGTGTTCAAAGCCAGAGAAGCACTGAGACCGTTTGCACTACAGGAATATTTAGTTTAATTTCTGCCTAGACCATTTGAGTCCCAACTTACGACATTCTAATCTGACTTCATCGTCCATATTTTGTGAAACATTTTTGATGCATTCTTTTGTTTCCACAGAAACTCAAACAGAAGAACCAACAGCTGAAGCAAATTATGGATCAATTACGAAACCTCATCTGGGATATAAATGCCATGTTGGCGATGAGGAACTAAACTGATATTTAAATTTCCTATCCTGTATGTGTTATATCATTGTTTTTTCCCTCAAGTATTTTTCCCATTGAAAAAGATTATCTGCTTTTATTTGAGTCGCAAAAAACTAAAGTTCCTATTTTTACATTGTAGTTTTAAAGTATTCAGTTTTTCTGTAATGCTGTTGAATCTATGAAAGATTGTAATTTTGATAGCATTTATGTTTTGGTTATTTTCATGAATTGAATAATGACTTTTTAAAAGTAAAATAAAGTTTTATAAATAAATTTTTTAATTTGATCAGTGGTTTGGCTCATTTCAGTTACCCTCTTAGAAAAAAATTAATATATTTTTTGCAGATGAAAACAAAGTTCATTTGTAATCCTTAAATAATTACAATTAATTAAAATTAAAGATATGTTACTGTTTAGGGCTGAGGATTTAGCTCAGTGGTTCTGTCACCTGCCTCACAAGCGCAAGGACTGGAGTTTGATCCCCAGTACCGGAAAAAAAAAGATGGTACCATTTTGACTCAACATTTTAAATTCAATTTTATTCCAAAACCAGTTAAAAATATGAAAACAGCATATATTGCCAAGAAAATTACTTTTATGATGTTCTTCAAGTCTTTGGTCTTAATTGAGATGATTTGTCTCAAAGGAGAAAATACATGATTTGAGGATAGGACAAATTAAAATCGCAACTGTGTTTATCTGCTACCTGCTTTAGAACAAGAAGGAGTCCCTTCATTTTTCAGGTACAGCCTAAGAATAATCATGAGTGTATTTTGTAAACAAGACATTTTTAAGAGTTTTAAATTTGATCGTTCTCTGTGATAGGTGTGGCGGTCCAGCCGTCACAACACGAACATGCCTGAGTTGGGGAGTGAGGATTGAGAAAGGAAGGAACACTCCCGCCTGAGTGGAGACCAAGAGAAGTCTGGTTTATTTCACAGAAACAGCGCCTTTTAAAGGCACCTCAGCAGGAAGCACCAAGCAATAATTTGTATCTTATGCAAAGACCAGATTTTCTGACTCTTACAAAGAACATCAGATCTGCGGCTCTTTGAGTTTCTCCCATCGCAGGGTCAAAAAACAAGTTTAACAAACAGAGTCCTGGAAAAGTAACAAATGTTACATAGATTGTATCAATGCCTTAATTGTAGAGGAAGAAGTTTCCTTTCAAATGTCAAACGCCAGAGGGCCACAGCCCGTCCCCACAGATAGGTGCTCTTCTAGTTGACAGTAAATCCATTATTGGTCTGCTGTTGGGAGCTCAGCTCTTCTGGCCTCATTCACAAGCTCCTACCTGCCTATCTATTCTGAGTAGACTCCACGAAAATCCTGTGTGACTTCTCTTGTATGTGAATAGAGTTTCTCTGGAAAACCACACAATGAACCAGTAACTGGCTTCCTCTGGGTAGGGAATGGAATGGTTGAGTATCAGACTTAAGACACTGATTTTTCATTATATGGTTTTGTAACTTTTGAATTTTATAGCACGTACAGATACTGCCTGTTCAGGGCATCTGAAATGAATAGACACTTCTCAGGTGAAGAAGTAGAAATGGCAAATACATGAAAACATGTTCAGCATCACTGGTCATCCCATATATGCAAATTAAAACAATGCTGAGATTCTATCTCATGCCGGAAAGAATATCTACTATCAAGAAATAACAAATGCTGACAGGGTTGTGGGGAGAAAGGAACCCTTCTCCACTGTTACTGGGAGTGTAGACTGGTGCAACCACTGTGGAAACCAGTATGACAATTCCTCAAAAAGCTGAAATCCCCCCTTGTTAATCTTCCTGAAAGAATTAAAAGCATCATACCACCGTGATATATGCACACCCATATTTATAGCAGCACGATTTGTAATAGCTAAATCTTGGAAATAGGCCAAATGTTAAATAACCAATGAATGGATCAAGAAGATGTGGGGCTTTTTTTTTTTTTACAATTGAGTACTACTCTGCCATAAAGAAGGATAAACTTGAGCTATTCCTAGGTAAATGAATGCACTTTGAGACCATCCTCTTAAATAAAATACGCTGGACACATGTTTAAAGACTGCATTGTTTTCTCTGGTGTGAGAAGCTGAAAGGGTAAATAAGGAGCAAAATGCATAATATTGTGAAATAGGAAGAAAATGTTCAAAGGGGAAGGGGAATGAAGGAAGGGGGAAGGGGGAAGGAAAAAACAGCTTTTGTAAATAAAGGGGAAGCAGGGTTGAAGGGAGGGGAGAGCAAAGTGAAAAAAGGAACGCAGATATATGTAGAGGTACACATTCCCTACGATGAGCGTCAGCACTGTGTGTATCTAAAGTACCAATAACAGTAATATTTCAAAAAGGAAAAAGTACCATTTCCTACTGAAAAAAAAAAAACTTCCTATTCAAAAATGGGTGGCAGTGTGCAAGAAGACAGACCAAGCCATGCAGACATTCTTAGGCGGTTCGCTTCACAGGCATCAGAGCAGCCAGGCAGGGAGCTGACTGCCCAGAGCTGGGTTCTGTGGTGTGGGAATTATGAGTATTAGTTATAAGTATTGTTAACTTTAGTAACTCCATATTTCTTAAATTTCTCCAGTTTAGAAGGTGGTGTATTTCCTTTGTGGAATTCCTGAAAGTTGCAGTTTCTTGTCTCTGGCCTTCAGACTTGTGGTTGTCTGGGTTACTACTACCCATGGTGATTGTTTTTGTTGAGCCTGTTTGCTCTTTCCTGTGTGAACTTTCATTTACTATGGTAATCCCATCCCATAATAGTTTGTGGTTTTTTGCTTTAAAAGTCTGATACTTGCTTGCAATAAACATCGCCTTGATCAGACTCTTGTCTTGGCGTCCTTTCTTTCTCTCTGCCCCATCTCCACCCCGCTGCTCTTTCAGGTTTGAGGCACTGCTGGACAGTGCTCTGCGTCGCCGGCTCGCGACACTGTGGGGCTGCAGGGTGGAGGGTGAAGTTACATGCAAAGCCATGACAAGGAGAATGAAAACCCGTGGTCTAACCACCAAGTGTGTAAAGTAAGATGTGCAGGTTGTTTAAACTTTGCATTACTAACATGTTCTGTAGGATGGTTACTACTGTGATGAACGGTGCGCTACTGCCAGTTGTGAATTTAGTGTTTTGTGATTGACAGCTTCAGTGTCACAAAAAAATGTTTTGACCCAGTGTTTTGGTGTTTTAATAATCACACTCAGCTGCTTAGATCGGATGGAGTTGCACAAGACAACTCTTGGAGGGAGTGTGGAAACTGCATCCTTTGGGCTGTAAACACACTTATCCCAGTGTCCTTGCCTCTTTCTGAAGCAGTTCGGATAGCCTCTGTCCTGCGTGTTGTCAGTGGTGCCATCATGGCTGCCTTGATGCCCTGAAAGGATTCAACACATTGACCGGTGGAGGCCGTTTTGACTTGCAGGAGGAGCCAGAAGTGGTGTGGTTCCAGTCCCACTGACCAAGCCCTGGAGGATACACTCACTATAATGCTTTTACTTGATAATAATGGCTAGAAACATTTTGAATCAATTCGGGACAAGGCCGCCATGAAAAGACACAAAAGAAGACATCTACAACTGCTTCTGAAAGTGGCAAAAACAATGAGATAAGTTTTCAAAGCCAAGGGGAGCACTGTTAAAGGGGTTGATATCAACATGTCTTTTACCGCAATCGATTTTTAAAATGTTCAAACATTCACTACATTTTTTATGGAACCCACTAATATGAAATTTCAATTTTTTTTTAATTGAGAGTAAGCCTGCCAATAGATTGAAGAACCAAAAAAAGTGAACTCAATTGTCATATGTGTCCTTGGGCCAGTTGGTTTTCTCATTTGTAAAATGATATGTGAGATTAGTTGACCTCGTATTCTACATTAAAATTTTGTTGCAAATGTTAGAAACTCAGTTCGAAATAGATTAAGCTAAAAAGTTTCTGTAGTGAGAAAAGATGATAGAGGAGCACTCATAGAACCAGAGAAAATGCCTATGAACCAGGGCCTTTGGAATTAGAGCCTGGTTCCTCGATGGTTTTCATTATTCAGCTTTATGTTTTGCTCATTCCTGTTCCATTCCCGTCACTGGAGACAGTTTCTCCAGAGAGAAGAGGAAGACCCATTGCTGTCTTGACATTTCTGTTTCCTGACCCCCGAGGCTGGGCTGCTTCTCCAACTCTAAATTGAGAAATCCTGGAACAGACTGAACACCTTGGTGACACAAACGACGCACAGCCCAAGAGTGTGAGCGGGTGAGATGGTTAAACTGCGCTAGGTCATAACGCACCCTGTGGTCAGGAACTGGGTAAGGGAGTCCTGCAAAACTGTACTGTGTGGGGAATGAATATTAGGGGAGAAAGAGGACCAATAAGGAAAGCTTTCAAGAAAAACAAACGGGCGACCATGGTCTACTGATAGACTTTGTTATATTATCATTTCAGATATAATATCAGTTATTCAGCTTCCCAAAGCCAAAACATTTACAGAAAACCAAATGCATCCTTCACTATGATGGGGAAATTGTCTTAATTTATTTTGTGTTTCTTTTGAATTTGTGGGCTTGTGCATTAACATGTTCTTTTGCAGCTGTTTCTTTGCAGCTGTTTATATTCATTGCAATTTGATCATGTCAGGTCTTGGTTAGCCTGGGTTAAAGCTAAGGAGAAATAAAAGGGAAGCTCAGTAAGGTTGTTATCTTTAAAATGATTTGGTAATCCACAGCCTTGACTGCCCCGTCACTGGATCTCTGGCAGCATGACAAGCCAGTGTGTTAACTTGACATTTTGATATAGTTCCACCTTGAGTAATTCATTTTCTTTTTCTAAATTCCCACCGAAGTTGAAGCTGGAGAGAATTTTTCAGCTCTGAACTAAAATGTGTGCTTATCCTAAGGCCTGAAACTATTTGTTATCCTGAGTGTTCTTCAATTTATCTGAAATAACTGGATGCCTTCCATTTTGATCTAATCCTTTAAAACACAAGGGTATGAAGACTGGTTTTCTTAAGTAGACATTAAAAATATACTTGGTGTGTTTTTTAACATGATAATTTTGAATTATTTCACATCTTTTTTAAACTAAAGCATTAGTTATTAAGTTCATTCAACATTTTTTTACTTACATAGAGCTGACAATGTAAAAAGGTCATTTTTTTTAAATTCTTACTGTTG